TTGATAGTTCTTACAAAGGACAGTTCTTTAGGGCACAAGTCACAAAAACACGCAGTTGATTTTGTTTTCAGTATAGCAAGGTCTTTCTGATAAAGTTTTCTGCATCAAGATGCAATGTGGCGTGCAAGTTTCAAGCAAATGTATTATTCCTTTAATAGATGAACAAAAGTCAGTTTCATTATACGATCATTCTAACCTTCAAATACAGACAATGTAAGCATTTTGATAGAGTTCTGTGACTCTCGTGTTTCACTTAGCGATGAGTAAGTTCCGTCACGAAGTTCACTTATACAATAATAGAGGTCATCATTAAGCCGTCGATTGTCATTTTCATGGCTTAAGACAAACAAAAGCTTTTGAAATTGTTCAATTTCATTAAATTTTATAGTGTGTAACCATTTTGCTGCATTTTCTACCTGTTGCTATGTCTTTATTACCGAATTAGCGAGTTATGATGAAAAAAAAATGAAGTGGGTATCCTGTGGTGGGCCGAGTTTTTTTTATTTTAGCTATTAGATAGAAATGGTTCTATTTCATCAAAGTGTATGGTGTGTAACCATTTTGTGGCATTATTTGTCTGTTGCTGTGCCATAATTACGGAAGTAGCGCGTTATAATGGAAAAAATTGACGCGGGTACCCTGTGGTGGACGACGTGTTTGCAGCCTTCCTGTGGAATAATTAAATGAGTGCCCAAAGATTTTTTTGCAGATATTGTTAGTATGAAGTCCCGCCTTCTAGACGGTGTGCTCCGTTTTTGGAAGCATGCTCCGGCATTGGAGATATTTTGGCCTAAACTTTGGATATTTCAACAGTTTTGACTATTGGGTGAGAGGGGGGGTCTTGGCTGAGATGACTTGTGTCATAGGAACTTGTCGTAGAAGAACGAAACAGTTACAATAAATTGTCTTTGGGTAGGATAACATTCACTGAAACTATGAAAAGATTTGATGGAATTCTTTTAGCAGTAGAGCTTTAATACTTTTGACTAATTTTTAGGTGTTTTTTGGTCATTTTTTAAAAAAAAACAAGGGGGGTGGTCAACTCCCCCCGGTTTCGACCAAATTTCCTTAAACTTAGAGGGAAGTAGTTTTGGGCGGACCCCTTCAAACTGGCCAAGTTTCATCGAAATCGGTTAGATGGCTTGTGCCGCCCCTGCCTGGTCCTTTCGTGGATGCACTCTTAACAGGTATGAACGAGGGTGGTAAAAGATCGCTTTTCCACTCGACGTTTTGCAACAAGTTGCATGTTTTTGCTGCCCGTTTTATCGAAGACTGTTGGCACCTTTGGCGTTTAGTTTTAAAAGATATTGCTATCTGGTATCAAAACCGCCTACTGTGTATGTAAAAGCAAATATAGTTTAATGGATATGTTTAGACAGCTATCTAAATTCAGCCACATTAACCCTATTGATCTGCAGAATTTGCCAAGGAACAGGCAAATGCAGACGGGAACTCAACATCGATTAAGGTAAGCAATTATACTATTCTTGGAAACTGCCCACCTATCCCTACCCTAAGTGAGAAGTAAGTGTTAATGTTGGCTTAGGGGAGGGGTCGGTGGGCAGTTTTCCAGAAACGTGTAATGATCCGCATGTCTTAGATTGTTTTTAAAGTATGGATTATTTTGAACGAATATACAATAAAACGATTATTGAAGGCAGCTTTTGTATGCCCTGAAGAATTATCAGATCTCAAACTGTGCTAGCGACCTTGGCCGTCGGCCCAACGATCTGCATAATTCTTAAGGTCATACTCAGCCTCATCCATTAATTGCTAATTATGATAGGAAAGAGGAATTCAATTATTGCTTTATTATCCATATAAGATATTCAGGCAATTATTTTCGTCTGAGTGACTGACGTCAATGATGGTATAGTGTATCTTTCAAATTTGGTGAGTGTCAGCAGGTTATGAATAATAAATGATTTTGAATATTAACCCGCGGATAAATGCCAACCAGAAACGGATAAATATTTGAAATCGATCATACAATTATAATTATTTTTATGCTCTGCTACGGTAACGTTTTCAGGCTTCTGCTGTAGCTCTATTTTCTAACCACTTGACCATCATTGTTTTAAAATACAGGAGGCACACATTCGATCACATCATATATTTGTTGTTCTTCTTTTATAAATATGATTTACTTTGTCGATGCGTGGAATTTGTTTTCTTTTGCGGCCATTTTGTCGGTCGGAACTGAAACCAAGAATA